GGCCTTGCGCCGCCCCAGCTGTTGTAGCGCCCCCAGGCGGAGGGCCGAGGCGCTGGGAGAGCCATTACCTAAAGCAGCACTGCTGCCCTCGCTTAACGGCCTTGGCCCGGCCATTAATTAGTTTATAATTTATGTGCCAGGGCCCACGGGAGGCAGCCCGGTGCATCTCAGCACTCTGCTCCGTGGCTGCTGGAGAGCTAGCTGCCTTATGCCTTCCCCAAGCAGTAAGGCATCCCAGAGGAAGCTGAGGGTACCCACATGCTTTACAGCCCATTCTGGTGTTACGCAGAGAAGTAATTATGAACTACCACGTACAACAAACCAGCCTGGAAGCTGCTGTCTGCAATGGTGGGCAACGCAGGACCACTGGGTCCACCTGGCATCATAAAACCTGTCACTGGGGCAATTTCTCCTAAGGCACCCGCTGCCAAAATTTAACAGCACACCAGCTGTGCTTTGTTACATTCACCCAGGGGGATCCCAGGAACGGCTTCAAAGAAACTGAAAACATTCGTACCTTTCTCTTTTCTTGCTGTCAGTTTCCTCAGAACCCCTCCGGCTGTGGAGAAGCTCATCCTTCGCCCTTCCCACCCGCGTCCTCCTCCCCGTCCCTCCTCTGTCTGCACTCCTTTCCTCCCCAGCTTTGTTTTAAGCTGCTGCCTGCTATTTATTTTCTTTTTTTGCCCATACCCAAGAATCATACAGTTTGTGGCACGGTTCATCGTAATTTACCACTGTTCTTCCCACTTCCGCTGCTTTTGGGGTGTTAAGTGGTTGAATTACAGAATCATAGAGTCATCTAGGTTGGAAAGGACCTTCAAGATCATGGGAGTCCAAACATTAACCTAACACTGCCAAAACCACCCCTAAACCACGTCCCTCAGCACCCCATCTGCCCAGCTTTTAAATACCTCCAGGGATGGCGATTCCACCACTGCCCTGGGCAGCCTATGCCAATGCTTTACAACCCCTCCTGTGAAGAAATTTTTCCTAATATCCATTCTAAACCTCTACCGGCATAACATGAGGCCATTTCCTCATCCTATCGCTTGTTACTTGGGAGAAGAGACCGACCCCCACCTCTCTACACCCTCCTTTCAGCGAGCGGTAGACCGCCAAAAGGTCTCCCCTCAGCCTCCTTCTCTTCAGGCTAAACAACCCCAGTCCCCTCAGCCGCCCCTCATAAGACTTGTTCTCTAGACTTATGGAAGAACCTCTCCCCGCGGAGGGGGGTTTAGCTTAGTTTTACCCTTAGGAAAACACCATCCTCCTTGCGTTAAACGTTCCCACTGCACCCCAGCCCGGCGCCTGGCTCTCCGGGCTGGGAAACCGCCTTCGGGCCGCTCTGAGGGGGCTGCGCAAGATGGCGGGCGGGGTCGGGGGGCGTCCCA